TTGTATAAAGTGCACTTGACATCCTCCAAAACACGAGGACTATTACCTGAGATGTGAGTGTAGTGTTTTAGCTACTTGGTTGTAAGTAAAAACGAGGCTCTCGGCTACGTACTTGAAGGCTTTATGTAGGTGTAAACTACGGCACTGTATTTTATTGATTATGCGATTAGCCCTTGTTGTATTTGTCTCATCAATATACCACTATATAAACTTATTACCTTTGTAAGGAGGAAGAATAACCGTACGCCGTAGTGGGTCACCTCTTTAGTCAGAAGCGCCGAGTGCGTGCTGCTGGCCCACCGCTCTGATTTTTATGTCACTTGTCACCGCCAGCCTCAAGACTCGTTACACTTTCTGTGCAAGTGCTGTCAACGCCGTTAAGCCCCGTTTCACTATTGCACATAAACTGTAACTAAAATTAATGCAGTTGCCGTGCTCAATCGCGTGCTTAGACATAAGAACAATTTAAACAGCCCAGACGTTCAAAATTTATTGAGGCCGCATCACCTACATTTATTGTTGTATATTTCACTATGAAAATCTTTTTTGGGATATCTTAAGTGTTTCTGTGAAGTTTTTGTTGACCGTCGGAAGGTAGCGGTTATTTTTGTTAGAAAAAAACTAAAACATGCACATTCAATAAAAGAGCAGACCTTTGTTGCAGCGCTGTCACGCATGTGATTCGTCGATGAAAGCTTCCTGTTAAACATTTTCAAGGTTTCTGTACTTACACTGGTTCTGAAAATTGTCTATACACTTGGTAAACACAATGTAGCACAAAGCACCGTCAGCCACTAAGCTTTCTTGACTAGACCTAAATACTGGCCGACCATTAAAGGTAAACAAAAAGTGAAAATAAAACGCGTATGCAGGCGAACGACGGTACTGAACTCTCGCAAAGATAAGCGGGCTTTCTAGGATTTTTTTACGATCTGACAGTTATCCTGGAAAACAGAGCGCGCGGCGTGCGTGCCCGTCTCTGAGGTGATAAGGTGTAAAACGCAAAGCGACGGGTAGGTTCCACCACCGTGTAGTCTCAGCAAAGCGTCGGAAACACTTGCCTTTTCGTGCAAGCGTTGTATCGTAAGCGCAGCGTGATAAATTCAATAGTCCTTAGAATTACTTATGTATGCCTTTTATACTAAACATACACATACATAATATGGACGGGTTGTTATGGTGCCCCAGATATGCGCGATAATTGCTTTTTAATTGACAATCGCACAAGTATGAACGCTGAATCTTGAGGAATAATGGTGGGCGCTGCGGATAGGGTGGGACGTTTGGTGAATCGTTCGGCCACTTTGGTGACGTTCAATGTACCGTTAAGAGTGAACAGAGTACCGTTATGAGTGAACAGAAATGTACAGAGAGACAGACATACCAAAAGTTTTGCGTTGAAAGTCCCCAAGAAAGACTATCGTCTTTAAAAATTGCACCATATCTACGGAGTGAATGATGATGAGTGGAGCGAAGCTGCGGAGGGTTTTATAGATATATCGTCAATCGTCTGTCTGTCTGTCTGTTTGTCTGTCTGTCTGTGCATCCATCAATCTCTCTGATATTCCATCCATCCATCCATCCATCTGTATTTATATGTTCGTTCATCTGTCTGCCTATATATATGCCTGTCCATCCGGCAGTCCCTCAATCTCTCTTTCTGTCCGACCTTCTGCCTGTCTTTCCTGTCGTCTATCCGTCTATCTCTCTGTCCATTCGTCCGTCCGTCCGTCCGTCTCTCTGTCTGTCTGTCTGTCTGTGCATTCATCAATCTCTCTGATATTCCATCCATCCATCCATCCATCCATCCATCTGTATATATATCGTCCGTCTGTCTGTCTATATATATGCCTGTCCGTCCGGCAGTTCCTCAATCTCTCTGTCCGTCCGTCCTTCTGCCTGTCTTTCCTGTCGTCTATTCGTCTATCTGTCCGTCCTGCCGTCCGTCCGTCCGTCCGTCCGTCTGTCTGTCTGTCTGTCTGTCTGTCTGTCTGTCTGTCTGTCTGTCTGTCTGTCTGTCTGTCTGTTTCTCTGTCTGTCTCTCTGTCTGTCTGTCCGTCTATCTGTCTGCCTGTTCCCTTCGGGTTTGAGTTGAAGTTTGAGTTTATTAAACCACGTGACAATTACACGAAAATACACTATTTACGCGGTTTGGTGCGAAGAGGAAAAAGCTGCAATTCACAGCTTGACTGGCCCCTTCACCCAGAAAAAAATGTAAACAACAAATTTACAAAAAGTTACAAAAGTTACAGGCAGCGGAAAGCGACAATGCAAAAAGAAACACGCATGTGGCCCATGACAGCAAATAATAGAATCACAACTCTAAAATACACACAAAAATATTCATAACAAAGCAATGCATGAAAGAATAAAAACTGAATAACCAGTAGAGAAATCACCCAACATTCATTTACAACACAATCAGCACATCCGATTTAATATTTCAGTTTTAGACAATATACGCAGATTATCAATTGTTTGTTTCCATTTGTTCAACAAACTTGGAAGGTGGTAACGTAGTGTTTCAAATCCATAGTTTGTGCGAAGACAAGGTACGTGCCAAGTCTCCGTACACCGAGTAACACGACTGGCAGGGTTTGGTTGCAAGGTGGCCAAGGTGCGTAAAAAGATACTTCCTCTGCGTATTTCTGATTTAAAAGCTGACAAAACCTGGTATTCGTAATAACAGTTAATTCTTAAAATTCTATATTTTGCAAATATTGAAGCAGTGTGTGCGTTATATGATACACCTTCAATGCACCGCAAGGACTTTTTTTGTAACACGACCAGGTTTTTTAGAGATTCTTTAGAGCCTGTAGACCAGACCAGATGACAATAGCGTAAATGTGAAAAAAAGAGCATTGTACACTAATATTTTTTTGTTTCACAGGTAGTATGTTTTGGCATCGACGCAGCACACCTAGAACTTTACAAAGTTTGTGACTAATGTGTTCTGCATGGTAATTCCATGCCATGTGTTCGTGGAAATGGACGCCGAGAGTTTTAACTGTTTGACAAAGTTTAATTTCAACGTTATTAAGTATCAGTTTGTGAGACGTTCCAAATGACTTGGCTTTCGCACGGAACAGTACAGCCTTGCTTTTAGAGCAATTAATGTGTAGAGAAATTGCCACAGTCCAGGCATATATTTTATTTAGTATTTCATTAGCAGAAACAATGAGGTCATTAGCCGTTTCTCCTGAAAAAAATATACTCGTATCGTCCGCGTAGATTACATAATCTAGAGAGCTGTCAATGCGTACAATATCGTTAATAAAAATATTAAATAATAGGGGTCCCAATATGCTACCTTGAGGTACGCCATTCTTAACGTTCATGGATGATGATAGCTCTCGATTGATTGATACACATTGTTTCCTATTAGATAAGTAGCTTCTTATTAAAGCTAAAACGGTACCGCGAACTCCATAACAGTGAAGTTTTTCTAGCAAAATATCATGGTTTATTCTATCGAAAGCTTTCGAGAAATCTAGAAATATTCCTAGGGAAAGTTTTTTTGCTTCTATATTCCTTAAAATCAATTCCTTTTGGTATAGTAAGGCACTTTCGGTTGAGAGGCCTGACTGAATACCGACCTGTGACGGCGTAATAATGTTGTGTTTATTAAAGAAATTTGATAACCGAATGAAAATAAGTTTTTCACACCCCTTAGAGAAAACTGGTAAAATCGAAATTGGTCTGTAGTTTCCTCAATTGCTTTTATCCCTACACTTATCTATAACCATTACTTTAGCGTTTTTCATTCTTTGAGGAAACAGCGCAGTGGTGAACACGAGATTATAAATATGTACTAAGCAGGCGCATACAAGATCTAAAATGTATATTATAGGTTCTAATTTTAAGCCATGTATCTCCTCACTTTTACTCAATTCGAAATGCTAAAAAACGCTGATGACCTCTTGCGCGTCTGTAGGATTTGCAAACACAGAATTATTTAAAGCAGGAGGCAAATAACCTGATGAATCACAGTTACGACTACTGTCAACTAGTGAGGTAAAGTACTCGCTAAATTTGTTTGCTAGTACTGCGCCCTTGTATATTTTATTTTCAATCACCAGCTCACTAATATCATTTGACATTTGTTTGGTAGATACGATAGCATTAAGTTTGTTCCATAATTGCTTAGAATCGCTGACACCGTCAAACATCTTGAAGTGATAATCGCGTTTAGCTTGTTTTTGTAGTTTAGTGAGTTTATTTCTGTATACTTTAAAAGCTTTATATTTATCCGGGTCTCGATTTATAAGAAACTTTGAGACAACCTATTTTTTTTTCTTTTATTATATTGAGTATTGCGGAAGAAATCGAAGGTTTGCACTCCCGTTTTGGTCTCTTTAAATCTTTGTAAGTAAAATGTTTTTTATACACTGAACATAGAGAATCAATAAAACAATCTTAAGCAAGCTCAGCAGAAGAACTAGATAGAACTTTGTTCCAGTTGAGAGTTCTAATTTCCTCTCTAAAAGAAGATAGCGTTCGCGAATTAATTTGTTGAAAGTGAATGGCAGGAAGGATTTGACTCCTTACACAGGTGATGTTTTTTATGACTAGATATCTGGGCAATTGATCACTTATCGGGGCACGCAGGACGCCTGCTTGTAACGTCTTGTTTGTAATACTTATGATAAACAAGTCTAATAGAGTAGAAGTGGTATCAGTAATACGTGTTGGAATGGTAATTACGTTTGGGTTACGATGGGTCATTCATCCAGCCGTGTGTTTCTCTGTCTGTCGTCTGTTTTTCTGTCTATCTGTGAGTCATAGAAGTAGGTGGTCGCTCTCCGATGAAGACAAGCATGTACAGACACACGGCTTTAGGAGCTTCGCCCCTAAAAGCACGATTCAGTGCGGCAGAGCGCAGACAGTCACCCAGGTTGAGCATCCCTTCGAAAGATAGAACATGCTTTACTCGCTTTTAACGGTAACGTTTCATGGGCCCCATGCAACGATTAAGTCAAGAGGAGCATAGGTAGTATCAGTAAGCTGTAGTCAACTCATTTTATTCGCCGACAATCGGCTCATAGTGCAAGCAAGAAAGCGCCGCAAAGTGTTTTTGTAAAGGCGCCACCGACCGATTATCCACAATACTGCAGAGAGAATGCTGCCACCTATAGCCAGATTTCGCCGGGAATATCCACCAGCTTCGGCCGGAAACTCGTGGGAAATCTTTTTGCAGGGTAGTTTCTGATTAGCTGTATAAGAGCGCTGTCTGGTTCCTCTGGGGCCACGCAAGCGAACTGAGTAACATTGCGTGGTTTGTCCTGGTGACTCCCCTGCTACGTTTGCAATGCACTTGGCAATTGGCTGCAATAAAGAAAATACGAGATGCTCTGTAGGACGATTCTATACACACAAGTGTAAATGGAATCAAGTCTTTTCTATTCGGATAATTTCGTATTTCAATTTTTTTCGTTTAGTTGAAAAACCTTCCAGTATAAAGAAACTTAAGGTGTTGTGCTCAGAGGATTACCGCCTCCCCAAGTAAAATTCACTGGCGTAAATTCCATTCAAAGTTACTGCAAGCAGTATTGTGTGGGAAGAAATGAAACGGTTCATAGCTGCGTCCACACAAGACAAGAACCTTTTTTGCTGCTGTCGTTGCTGTTGTTGTTGTATTTGCTCTAGCATTGAAATTGCCTTCTCATATTTCACCCGGCTAAAGAAGACCGAAAAGCATGCAATTTATTTAAAAACTTCTGTGTTTTGGCATGATCAATTACCTTGTACTCGTACAATCTTCATAATTAAAATAAAACGCAAACAATTCAAGTCTTTCCTAATATTCCTTTACAGTACAGGAACACACAAACTTGTGATTGAGAAACACAATCCCATATTATTTTAAACAGTTAATATTCTGGCCGAACAAAGATCTCACTGTGACTGAAAATGACGAAGGCAGGCCCTTGATTGTCATTTGTTTAATTGTGGCTTGATCCGTATAACATCACTCAAACTTGACGCGCCAGTTGTCGGTTTCCTTCCGTTACGCTGTTTTTGGTAGAATACGTCATGCGCCTAACACCTAAATTCGCTTTATTGTGTATGTGTGCCAAAGGTAAAATTTGAAATATGCTGCTTTTAACAATTAACTTAATGTGGCGACGAGTAAAAAAAACTCACCAACGAATACGATAGCACCTCACGCGAAGTGTCTGTGCAGCTTGGCTTCATGAGGTACGAAATTGCGAAAGCAGGCACATCGTTGTCAGCGGTTAAGGTATGACGTGTTTCCTTCAACCTCATTGAGTCTCGTTGTGCAAGTTATTTTTTGTATCTGTGAAACTGCAATTTCTTCGTTAAAATATGTGATGTGCCTATTCTAAAAAAAGGCTTTATAACTGAAGTATACCAGAGACAAGATTTATAAAAATTTACTCTATGTAACGAATAAGACAGTCAAAGTTCATCTGAGGCAGTCGCAGTCAACCTTGTGCCGTGTAACAGTTCACTGTTTTGACTTTATGGACGTCAGACTCTGCCCAGGCAGCACTGCGAAAAACGCCCCAGCAGCGCACCATCGCCCCGCCAGACATAACTGGGTAGTGCAAAGAGATCTTTTCGCAAGCGGACGCGCATAGGCACTTCTCTTTTATTGGCCGTGCTGTTTTTTGAAAATCAATCACCTGACAAGCTTCTTCCTTTAATCCAACCTTGCTTCAGAAAAGTAGGAAGCTCACCAAAACGAAGTGAAGGTACAACGCAAGTTACGTTTCTGTTAATTCAGCGTGTTGCAACTGGCATTTTAAGTGCGAGCGAGCATCGCGTGACATCGAGCTCGAAGCAAGCACTCCGACCTTGGTTCTGTAACATCTAATTGCGTTAAATGTAGGCAGACACGCGATGTCAAAGCGATGAAATGCATACACCAGCAATCTATTTTACGATCAGCCGTACGAAGCTCGCTTTATCCGGCACGAATGACCGGATACTTTCGCCTCTCAAGTGGCATTCCCTATCGATTTCTCACTTGCTGTACGCCGAACTGTTTTATTGCGCATGCTAGATTCTTCTGTGTGCGGCTGTCTTCTGTTTGTATATACTGCAAATGGGGACACACGCGTGTCCATTTTCTCGATGGACAACGAAAGGCGAAACCCAGGACTCCGAGATATCTCCAGCAATCGCGGCGACAAACTGCAAGAGAAGGCTCGATGTGGCCGCGATCATTTTGCGATTTACCTGTACGACGTACGTGTTCGTATTTCCCAGTAGAGCCTTCAAAGCCCCACGTACGTAATGCTGTGCGGTGGCGACAACTTCCGTATATCTGTGGTCGTGGCGTGTGCAATGTTTATTGCACGCGTCACTATACTCTTGCGGGGCGTGAAACATAGTCAGAGGCTATTTCAAACTTCATAATCAAAGTTACCCTGCTTTTCCATCAAGGCTACTTAAAACAAACGCATGAGATCTACATTGTCACACTTTACCATGCGAGCGGCTGCAGAGAACGCGAGTAATTCGCTTGCCCAACAAGATCGCAGCAGTCGGTATCTAGTGCTTTCGCTGTTCTGATTACTACGCTGAAAAGCGTTGAAGGCCCTCCTGATATTTCAAAAATTGACCCGTCTTGTCGAAAGATTGTGACATTCTAGTGGCGTGTGTTTTGGCTTTTCTCGCACTCTCTGCCTCTCATTCAATTTTTCTTACTTTTCTGTTTCCCCTTTGCCAGCAGTGCAGGGTAGCAAACAAGTTACTTGCTTTCTGGTTAACCTCCCTGCCTTTCTTCACACCATATCTTTCTCTCTCGCAACGCAGCAGTAGCGTCGACCGGCGTCTTTTTTCGTAAAACGCGCAACTGATTCCTCTGCTCTTGTTTTCGCCGTCGTTCTAGTAAGTCAAACAGCAACGTGGTGGAAGGAAAAACATAGGAGAGGCAATGACGTCATATTCGTGAAGCCGCCGCTTCGCAATCAGTCGCACTACCTCCTAGCAGAAAATCAGAAAAACACTTCGCTATTTCCGGCAAGCAGCCGCCGCAGCAGCCTTCGATGCGGCGCCAGCTGAGTGACAGGTGTTCTCTGCCCGCAGCGAGGTAATGCACGAGTGCTGTTTCTCTTGCGTGTTTTAGGAAAGCTGTGCGATGCCCAGCTGTAGTGTATACCCGATGCGAATCGCGTGCACCGCCGGATGTACCTGGTGGCACTTTTCACGTATGTTCGCTTCACTGTTGATCAATTTGCATGTGGAGCTCTCAGCTGTACTCTACGTTGGTTCTTACTCATTGCGTCAACTAAGCCAGAACACACGCGAACATTTGTTTTAGTGTTGTAGGTATCATGTCGCGTTCTTAGAAGTTGTGTCTTTGATACGGAAGGACAATAAACTTGTCTTGTTATCGCACTCAATGTGTATGCATTGTACGATATGTGGTCGCTGTGTGTTAGTTTTGTGCCCGTGCCCTGGAGTCGGACACTTTACGTACCCGATCGCATATACAATACAGTGGTGATTTCTTACCGACGTCAAGTGCGTAAATTACCAGGCTGGCTGCACGGAATAGCTGCGAAGCAAGCTCCCAAAATAGTGCGTTGCCACACTGACTATATGTCAGCAAACAACTGCTAATCGGCCAATAAAATAAGGCCTGTTGGCTAGTAGAACGCGTAAGTCACTGCCGAGTGAGTTCGAATACGACGATGCAAGGGCAGAATGATTTTGATTACGACATGTAACGGTGCTTTCTGTGCTGTTGCACTAAAACACTCCACGAAGTATTTCAGCACGCCGTGTTCGGGCCTTCCACGCATGAACAGTTTCGCAAAGGTGTGCTCGCAAAATTTTACTGCATGCAAACCATACAATACGCGTTAAGTTTATGCCGGGGCTATAAGTCGGCGCAGAAGTGAACCAGCGCTGAGAGCATGCCAGGAGCGTCAGCTGTTTTCTTTGCCCCATACCGGTTTGTTTGCCCCATAAATCTGACCTAACTTTCGCCACACTTCTCGCAATGCATTGGGATAGAATGGGGCCTCTCCTCAGCTTTTTCCTTCCTCCATGTCCAGCAAACACTTCATGGCGGTTAAGTGACGCACCCGACTAGCGGAGCAAAATTCGTAGCACGTCTCCAAGTGTTCAATTTGCACAAACACCTAATATTAAGCTGCATCATTGATTCGTACGCTGTAGCTGCACCTGGTGGCGCCGAAAACTATGCAAGAGAGTCAAGCTCTGCAGTATTCAATACTGCATCGACAGGTGACGCTGCGTGTCTGCAAATCTCCTAGAGTTTCACATCAATGTGCGAGTGTGATACAGTCTGCTATCCGTGCCAGCGCATTACTTTACCTTAAGACTGAAGTAAAATTAACATTGGTTATAATTGGAAACTGTTCTTTTACAAGCCTTGTCTTATTTTTGCTGTAATGGTGAAAGCCGTCAAGCATGGAAACTTCGGCCCAGTGTTTCCGGTTTTGCCTAACTTCGCTGAAGCAAAATTCACAATTTTTTACGTAGAAATAAAGTGGTGCCGAAAACTTCACACTTATTTGCTTGGGACGAGTAGAAGTCTTCCTAGCGTAGAGTAACTGTATATGGTCCTAGTAACTGTCATCATCATCATCATCAGCCTGACTGCGTCCACTACAGGACAAAGGCCTTTCCCATGTTCCGCCAGTTACCCGGTCCTGTGCTTGCTGCTGCCAATTTATACCCGCAAGCTTCTTAATCTCGTCTGCCCACCTAACCTTCTGTCTCCCCCTAACCCGCTTCCCTTCTCTGGGAATCCAGTTAGTTACCCTTAATGACCAGCGGTTATCCTGTCTACGCGCTACATGCCCGGCCCATGTCCATTTCATCTTCTTTATTTCGACTATGATATCCTTAACCCCCGTTTGTCCCCTAATTCACTCGGCTCTCTTCTTGTCTCTTAAAGTTACACCTACCATTTTTCTTTCCATTGCCCTCTGCGTCGTCCTCAATTTAAGCTGAACCCTCTTTGTAAGTCTCCCGGTTTCTGCTCCGTAGCTAAGTACCGGCAAGATACAGCTGTTATATACTTCCTCTTGAGGGATAGTGGCAATCTACCTGTCATAATTTGAGAGTGCTTGCCGAATGTACTCCACCCCATTCTTAATCTTCTAGTTACTTCAATCGCGTGGTTAGGCTCTGCGGTTATTACCTGCCCTAAGTAGACATAGTCTATAACAACTTCAAGTGCACGATTACCTATCTCGAAGCGCTGCTCCTTGCCGAGGTTGTACATTACTTTCGTTTTCTGCAGATTAATTTTAAGGCCTACCTTTCTGCTCTCCTTGTCTAACTCCGTAATCATGAGTTGCAATTCGTCCCCTGAGTTATTC